ATCGGCGGAGGAGGCAATGTAGACAGAGCACACACATCCCCACAAAGAATCAGGGTGGTTTCCGCTCATGGACAGCGCCAACAGGGACAGAAACAGCCTGGCTGATTGATCCAGGGGCCAGGGTCTCCAGATGAAAAGCCCTCCCTGAGAAAAGGGACCATTGAGCTGAGGTCTGAATGGAGAGAAGGAAGCAGCCCGGTCAAGGTCAAGGGCACACAGAGAGGCAAGCGGAGGATCAGCAGGTGCAGAGGCCCTGAGACAGGAGAAAGCTGCAAGTAGAGCAAGGAAGCTGGAGTGGCTGGGGCCTGAGAATCTTCCCTCAGTCCCCCTCTGAGGTTGACACAACCCTGCTACTTCTGCCCCAGAGATGTGGGTGCGGGATACATAGCGGCCATTGTCCTGCGGCTGCTATCGGAAAGAGGGCAGGTGCAGCCAAGGGTCCAGAGCAGGGAGAGAGCTTTGCTCCCCAGCCCTTCCCCGGGATCCTTCTCCTCCCACACGCAGGGCTGTCTGAGTGACCCTTGACCCGGGAGGAGGAAGCAGGACTTGCAGAAGGCTACCTCGGTCTGCCTCTGGAAATGCAGCTCAGAGTGCCCCCCTCCACGGCGCCCCCCCCCCCCAGGAGGTTGTGAGAACACCAACTCTCCCTGTGCACAAAACAGCAAACCTGGCAAGTGGCTGGTGGAGCCGGGGCAGTTCAGGGAGTTTGTGGGGAGTGGAATGCAAAGGTAGCACGGGGCAGGCATTCAGCCTGCTGGAATGAGGTTAGATGGTGCATCCCCTAGCACAGCTCCGGCTCCCGACACCAGCTTCCTGCCAACGCAGACCCTGAGAGGCGGCAGGTGATGGCTCAAGCAGTTGGGTTCCTGCCACCCATGTGAGAGATCTGGGTTGAGTTCTGGGCTCCTAGCTTTGGCCCAGCACATCGTGGGTACTGAGGATGTTTGGGGAGTGAACCAGTGGATGAGACACCTCTCTCTCTCTCCCTCTCTCCCTCTCTCCCTCTCTCTGTGTGTGTGTGTGTGTGTGTGTGTGTGTATGTGTCTTTCTCAGAAGAAGAAAAAGAGAAGAATATAAACCCTAAGCCAAATGGCCACCCCTGTATACTGTGAGCTGCAAACCGGGCTCTCCACACCCCAATCAAACTCGGCTTACAGCAGCATGAGCAAACAGTCACCTCTCCACCCTGGTATGGGCCCAGGGTTCTGAATGAGGGCTTAGCTGAGTGGCCCAGCGGGGCCTGAGCCCCAGAAGCACCCTCCCCGCTGTGGGGATATGCCCTGGGGACACGCCTGCCCTGTGGCCCTGACACCAGAGCACAGAGTCTCCACAGTTCCCATAACAAATGGGTAGCCAAGGGGGTGTGGTGGCTGGGTGTTGCAGCTGGGCCAGGGAGAGGCAGGAAGAACCATGTGCTGGGCTTGGACTGGAGGAGTGGTTTACTAGGGGGTGTAACCCGGATGATCCATAGGACAGGCAGGTACACAGACCCCATGTGTATGCTCAGGGCCGTTGGCTGTATAGCAGCCTAGGACCTCAGCAATCCTCAGCTCCCTCGTTCATAAGGACAAGGTATTCACGGCCACCACACGGGGCGGGGCGAGGGTTAGGTGTATCCTTGGAGCAAATGTTCAGGACCTGTGGGTTCCCCAACCCGTGTCTTTCCCAACACCTTGGCAGATAACAGATCCTTGGGAGAGAGCACAAGGGTTCTGGGCTCGGCGTGGTTCATCTGCTGAGAGACGGGGCAGGCAGGGCACGGCGGGAACATTCTGTTATTAGCTGGCCGGCATTTCCCTCTGTCTTCTTACTACAAAGTCTGGAGGTGCACCTGTCCCTGATGGCATCTGTGGAAGTGACTCCTCAAGAATGCTGAGAGTCCAGCATTGTGACACAGCGGGTTAAGCCACCGTCTGGGAACGCTAGCATCACAGAGGAGTGCTGGTTCGAGTCCTGGCTGCTTCACTTCTGATCCCGCTCCCTGCTAATGCATCTGGGAAAGCAGCGGAAGATGGCCCAAGTGCTTGGGCTCCTGCACCCACGTGTGAGGCCCGGATGGAGTTCCAGGCTCCTGGCTTCAAGCCTGGCCCAACCCTGGCTACTGTGGCCATTTGGGGAGTGAACCAGTGAATGGCAGACTCTCTCTCTCTCTCTCTCTCTCTCATTCTGCCTCTTAAATGCATAACTACATCTTGAAGAAAGAGTGCCACCGGACAAGTCACCTGTAGCCAGGTGGTGAGAGTTGAAGACTCTGTGGAGTTTTTTCGCGTTATCTGGAGGGACACAAGCTTCAAGCATCCAGAACCAAAAATGAGCCTGAAAGCCTCGCTCTGCACTGCCCTCATTATCAGCTTGTGATCGTTTCTAATTAATACAGAGGCAGAGCAGATGCAATTTGCTGCAAAATTAAGTTAGCCATCACCATGGGCATGGAGAGGATGTCAGAGCCACTTCTACTCGCGCCAAAGGCAGCCGCGCCGCCCCGCCGCCGTGCTCCGGGGTGCCCCCCACTGAGAGTCGCCGCCTGTGCAGCCGCTGCAGGCAGGGGCCCCTGTAGCACGCTGTCTGAGGACAGCTCTATTTCTGCTCTTGCGGGACATACAAGCGGGCCTTATTTTTCTGGGCCATCGGGGAGCACGCTGGCTCACATAGCATCCAGGAGTCTACATTTAGAATTGTCTTCATTCACATTCTTTCCACGCGGCTCACGGCTCCTGCTCTGGGAGAGCGTGGTCACTTTGCCTGGGCCAGCCGCTGGAGATCTGCCTGCCCCAGGCCACACAGCCCCTGCGAGCAAGCCGGGGCCGGGTTGTCTGGCTGAGCTCTCCGCTGGGGGTGGCCATGCCTGTGCGTCCACCGTAACCAGCAAAGACATGAGAGGCCACGGCATGGGGCAACTAGAAGCATTTTCCAGGAGCGAGGAGATCCTATGGCAGGCAGCTGGGCTCAGGCTGGGCGGCAGGGAACCTCGGGTCACGGTCTGAGGGTCTTGCTGGGTGATCCGCGTTGTCCTATCACAACCCCTCCTGCCGACATCAAGGACAAGGCTGTCAGCCACTGTCCAGCCTCCTGGCCACTGTCCTGGATTTGTCTCCATCAGCCACTCCACGCAGACACCATCGGCTCCTGCCACCAAGTTCCCAGGACCGTAAACAAGACGCAAAGGGCTGGTGTCCACCTGCAAGGAACGGGAAGACAGACAGAAAGGACGGACAGCAGGTACGGAGGGCGGGGAGGTCTAGGGCCAGCTCCCTCGGTCCTCCAGCTCCTGTTACCGCCACCTCCACGAAATGATACTTAGCAATGCAATGTTTCCTGACCTCTGGAACAAGACGATTTGGGTCGAATATCCATCACGTATGAACCGACTACTAATTTATTTCTAGGTGTAAGAAGGGCGGGGGAGGAATTCACATATGGAACCCATGATTTCTTAGGTGTTATTTTTCCACCACAAAGCTCTGCTCAGAGCAGAGGGAAGTCTGTTTAGATTTTTCTATAAAGGACAGCAACAGGTAAATGATGATATAGATGTTCGAGGGTGTGTTTCTTTCAATATGAGGGATGTCTAAGAAGTTCATGGCAACTGTGTTTTATGAGAAAACCATGTGTGGATTTCAAAATTTTTTTGCGCGAAAAATAAACTTAATCCTCCATTCCATTTTTCTCCAAACACTTTGAAGCCGCCCCATAAACAAATGACTCACACTGGGGACACTTGGCGTATTTGCGTATGTGAGGGCCTTTGATCCCTAGCGCCACACAGCCAAGGCGGCGTCCTGTCCACTTCAGAGATGGGTAGACCGAGGTGCAGAGAGGTGAAGTGATTTAGCTGATGAGAAATAACTGGAAACTAATGGCGCCACGGCTCCTAATCGGTGTCCTCTTTTTAAGGTTGCTCTGCATCTCAAGTTCATGTTTTTCATCTGCCAAGTTGGCCGGTTAGGTTAGGGAGGGAGGGAAGCCAGGGAGGTGAGCATTGTTGGGCCTCCCTCGAACTTTCCCTGAGTGCAGAGCAGTGAGCAGATGTCCCCACGGCCGGGGCCTGGGGTCCCCAAGGCCACAGACAGGTGTTGTGGCACTCAGGAGGGGAGGTCTGGGTGCACCTGCTGGCTGGGATCTGATACCTCGGTATATAAGGCAATGAGGAGCTGTTCTTTCTGACTTGATGGGCACAAAAATGCACAGAGCCGGGTCTCCGTGACCTAGGCCAGCAGCAGGTTCAAGGCCAAAGCTGGTACCGGGCTGCACCTTGGGCTGGGGCAGAGGCTGCTGCCCTTGAGGAAGCCTCGGGGGTGAGAGGGGCAGCTGCAAATAGATGCAAAGGCACAGGATGCCACAGACACGCATCCAGAGGCCTGGAGCACTGGCTGGAGCTGGTCGCCTCCGCCTTCTCAGGCCACAGGCCGGCGGGGGCAGGAGGGGAGGCTGAGAAAAAGTTCTTGCATTAACTCCTAGCAGTAAAGGACCCCTAGCAGGGCCAGCTCAGGGAGGCCAAGGAAGGCAGATGCCCCAGGAGCTGGCCTGGCATGAGCAAAGGCACTGTGGCCGGCGAGGGGAGGAGAAAAAGATGCTTGGGGTTTGCAGGCAGTTTGGGGAACAGGTGACCCCAGAACAGAAAGCAGCCGTTGGGAATCCAAGGGAGCCCATCTCAGGGGCAAGAGGTGTCAGCCCCTGCCGGAGATAAAGCGGGGAGCCCCCACCTGGCCTAGGGGACCTGTCCACCGGCACTGGAACCTGGCTGGGCTTGCTAGCATCCCATAGCCTTCTGCATCTTCCCTCCCTAACCCCAGCCCGGCCTTCCCGCCCCTCCCACAGCTGGGCACGTTATTTTGCACCAAAAGCCCAGGCAGCGTACTCTTTCCTCGAGGAATGCGGTGATGAAACCGGCTATTTCTGCCCCAGGACATCAGCAGGCCTGGGACGGGCGCTGGCTCCCGAGCGTGCACACACACACACATAAGCATGTTTGGCTTTTTTTTTTTTTTTAAATGCCTCTCTAGGCAGACGCTCGCTTTCTCACCTTGGGGTATTTTTATTTGAATCTAGGCGCAGGCATAGCTTTAGCAATGGCTTTGGAACTGTGGTGAGGGCCCAGCTAATCGGCCAGCAATTTCTCACCGCCCAAGTTATCTATTACCCGGGGCTGATCTGGATGTAAAAATAGCCACTGAGGCTGTTTGTTTAATCTGACTGTTATTTGACACCACGCGGGTGTTCCAGGGCTGACTGTTTGCCTCTTCCCCACCAAGTACACCACTTGGTTTTTCCGGCTGAGTCTCTATTTAGGTAAAGCGTCACTGACTTCCAGCCTCTGGCCGGCTCTGGGACACAGATTTCCCTGGGCTGGGCAGGTTTGTGAGAAACAGGGCATTCCAGGGCTCAGCTGCACCTCCCTCTCATCTTTGGGGCAAAGAGGGAAAAAGAAGTTTGGACGGCTGAAGCGGGCGGCTGCCGGAAGAACCGGGTTCTCTCTCTCTCTCTCTCTCTCTCTCTCTCTCTCTCTCTCTCTCTCCCTCTCTCGTCCCTGGGGAAGAGGCCTAAAGCTCCAAGCGCTGAGACCCACAGAGTGTGGAAGGTACAGTCGGGACTGCTTGGGGCTGCTGGAGGCTTGGGGAGGGACAGGGACGCTGGCTGTGTCGGGGGGCATGCAGAACGGGGCGACAGGTGCTAGGGTGCATGTGTGCCGGATGTACGGTGGGGAACTCGGCACAACAGACTCAGGCCCCGCGGGCGTGACTCTGTCTTTCCCTGTGCTCGGCCCCCGCATGGCTCAGCGAGCACATGCCTGGGGATGAGCCACTCCATGGTCACAGATTCTAAGGCGGTGGAGGTGCAAGCGATGACTCCCCTGTCTCCCCCAGTGCTGGGCGGGCGGGACCACACCAGTTGTAAGAGAGGGGGCTGGGACACATGTCCCCGGCACAAAGCCCTCCCCAGACTACCCAGTCTTACCCGTCCCCAGGGCTGGGGGAGAATGACCTCAGGGTGGGCTTGGCCCAATTGAAAACTCAGCTCTGTCTTGTTTTCGCATGGAGAAGCTGATCTTTGAAAAGGACCATTTTGAATACGTGTGGAATGCTGGCTAGCCCTAAGAGAGATTGTTCTTGAGGACTTTATAAAATACCCCATAAGTATAGGAATCCCGAGGTACACATGAAACACACAAGTGCACACTGCAAGGGGCCCGGGGGCCAGCATTTGAGAGTCCAAAGCTCTTATAACAAGGCTTGATCAACTGTGACCAGTGCGCTGCATACCTGATTTTGTAAATAAAGTTTTATGCCACGGCCACACCTGCTCATTTGCATATTGCCTCTTTGATGCCAGCAGGGACCACAGAGCCTGCAAAACTGAAATCGCTTACCAAGGGGTCTTCCCAGGAGGAAGCTGGCCACCCCTGATGTACAGGAACATTTCTTGAGATGAGTAAGATTAGCACAGGTACGCACACACTTGCCCACATACAGAGAGAGAGAGAGAGAGAGAGAGAGAGCAGCAGTTCTCACTGTTAGAATAACCTGGGGACAGGACCATTCAGGCCCCCTGGAGCCTCCCACACCCCCTGCCTCAAGTCCATGCTTCAGGTCTGGCTGGCACAGGAAGTGTTCAGTTTGCGTCGTGGTGCCGCGTGGGTGAGCTCCGTTGCGTTCGGAGTCACCAGATGCATAGCATATCCGTGTGGCCCCGGGGCTGAGCTGGCTGGATTGTGCTTATCATGATGGTTTATTAATAGCCCCCGCCGGGTAACCCCAGGCCAGCCCACGTCTGCCCCCTCGTTCTCTGGGGTGGGAAACATTGTGCCTGCTCTTTTGTAACCAGAAGCTCATTGGCGTGGGAGCCTCCGTGTGTGATGGGGAGGGAGGAGGGAGCGCCCGTGGGATGCTGCGTCCTGGTGTAGAGAGATTTGGGTCCCCTGGAAATGGGGAGAGGGAGCCGTGTGGTGGACACAGGGAAGGCTAGAGGCGGCCTCATGGCCCCGGTTGGGGGACTGCACCTGCTCCGGTGCCCTCCCGCTGCGGCTGCCTTTGCCCCTGAGCCTAAGGAAGCCCTGGAGACCCTTACTGAAGAGGGAAAGCCCCGGGTCTTGAAATAGCGCTGTCCTTGCAGTCTCTGCCAGCAGTTTCGCCCGCCGAAGCCTGCCGGTGGCGCCCAGGCTGGAACGCCTTCCTGGTTGGCTCTCGGCGCTGCCATCTGCCCAGGCTTACTGGAGAGGAGCAAAGGTTTTAAGACAGGATCCTGCTGGGGCACCGGGACCCACCAAGGCAGGAAGGAGTCTTGGTTTGATTTCCATTGGAGGGTTCTGACTCCATTTCACCAAATCCACCCCGGAGCCCTGTAACTCAGGCTAAGGGTGCAGCCAGTTAGCCGTGCGATACCAGAACAGCTCTGTTTCCACCTGGATTCTGACGCTGCCGTGCTGTGAGCGGAGGGGCGCGGGCAGGTGTCTGGAGTGGGGAAGACAAGATAGTCACCAAGGCTGGGAAAGACCCAGAAATGGAGCATGGAAGTACACGCCGGGGCTGCAATGTGTCAGCCCAGTGCAAATCATCAGATGGGTCTAGAACACTCTCGATGTGGGGACTGCGTGTGTGACCAGGGCTGTGTGCGTAATCCCAGCCTCCTGACGTCCTGAGCAGGTTCTCAGCAGAGCTGAACCTCAGTGGGAGACGTGCTAGATTATTCTCAAGGTCACAGGCACAGTAGGTCTAAGATCCTTGCAAACAGGCATGCTTTTGAGGCCAAAGCCCAGAGAGCTGAAGTGACTTGCCCCAGGGGTGCCCAGTGAGGGACTCAGCTGAACTTGGGATCCAAGTCCAAAGCCAAGGTGGTGTCCCAACTGTGTCCATACACCTAGAGCTCACATAGCATCCAGCAGATTCTCTGGAAAGGAAAGCAGGCACTCAGCAAGGGGTCGGAGTCTCCCCCAGGAAACGCAGGTGCACCCAGGGAGGCACGCAGGCGTCACCCCTCTCCTGACACCTCCAGGTTGCTGCAGAGATGGTACAGTGTCCCTGGGGACCTGCCGGCTCTGCAGGGGCTACAGCCCAGGCCAGCTGGATTCACAAGCCAGCTCTACCACCTCCCAGCAACGCCCCTTCCCCGCCCACGGGCCTCAGCTTTCTCTTCTGTTAAAATGGGAAACATAACAGCTCCCCTCTCGAAGGCTCCCGCAAGCATCCAATGAGAAAATGTGTGCAAAGTCCCAGGCACGTGGCCGACACGCAAGGACTGCCTTCTCCTCTCTGGCCATGTATTTGTCCAGCTTCAACTCCAACTTGGGTCTGCGCCTTCCAGAGGGTGTCACCGAGAAAGCCCGACACTTCGGCGCTCAGCTGATACGCACTCCTGCTCAGCTGGGAGAGCAGCTGACACACACACCGTGCAGGACCGACCCCAGCCCCACGGCCACCGCTGGGCATATGATCTCCCCTGCTGTGCCAAGGATTGTGGATCTGTGCACCTCCCCAGGGACTTAGGGCAAAGTCCCAGCCTTGGAGGGATCGGATGATCCCAGTGACCTGTGCAGCCACGGATGCCTCAGAGAACATGGACATCAGCCAGGACCACCACCCACTGCCAAGGGAGAGAAGACAGTCAAAACCTTGGGGTCCCACTTCCTGAACTTGAATCTCAACTCTCAAGGGCAAGGGCAGGAGGCTATGCTATAACCGAGCACCTGAGATTTGCCCACATCAGCTCTGGTGACTTCCTAGGAGAGACAGGTGGAGCAACAGTGCCCCTTGTACACTGCAGCTGCTGGGCCCACGAGGCGCTGAGGGACCCTGAGCACCGAGGCCAGCGAGGGCTTCCCTGAGCACAGGAGCCGGATGCAGGCAGGAGGCTTGGGAGGGGGCAGGCTCCGGGGTTCTGGGCAGTCCCAGGTCACTGTGGGGCATCACCTCCCTTCTCCCTCCCCTGCACGCCCAGGAAAGGGACCAAAGCATCCCCAGGACTCCAGGGACCCCAGCCCTGGATTAACTGGGCTCCGTGGTGGTGATGGCCATGACATTGACCGCGTAAGTCGCTAGGTGCCAGCTGCTTAATCTTCACGACAGCCCCAAGACAGACGTCCCATTGACAGACGGAGAAACTGAGGTGCCAGGAGGTTTTTATTGAGGACGGGGTCAGCTAGGTCATCCAGGAGCCAAGGCCAAGGGCAACTGGCCTGCACCCCTGCCCTTCCCACTTGGCTCTACTGCCCCCGTCTGGGGATTAGAAATTAGGGAAGCAGGCACTTGGTGGGCAGTGACCCTACGCTCTATAGACTGCCACTCTGCTCTCCCCACGGCCGGTGCCATTCCTGCCACCATTCCTGCACCCCCATTGCCTGCTTCCAAACCCCAAGGCCTCTTTGGTGACTGCTGTGACCAAGCCACCATCGACATGGACCTGACTCGCTCTTCTGAAGGCTGGCAGGTTCAGACACTGGCTGAGCTGGTGCCTGGGGGAGGGGTTGTTTCTGGATGGCACCTCCTCACTGCATCCTCAGCCCAGCAGGCTTTCTCTGCCCGCTCTTAGAAGGGTCCTGCTCCCTCTCCCGGGCAGGGGTAGGGGGGTTCCACCTGCATGGCCCAAGGCCCTCCCCTCCCTGGGGGTCCAGGTCTCGGCTTGGGTAGCCACAGCCAGACCCCAGCAGGCACTTGTTGCAAACACCTCCATTTGCTGAGTCCATCCTCTGTCTAGTCTGGTCCTGGCTCTTGACCTGTGTCCCTCACAGCTTCCCTTGTGGACGGAGTAGGGGGAGGATGAGGAATGGGAGGCGGCTTTCAGAGGTGGCTCCCTGGCCTGATTCTGAGCCTCGTGCTCTTTCAGTCCCCTCTGCTGTGGACACAGCCAGGGGCTTCTGCACTAACTAGGAACCAAAAATTCTAGGAGCTTCCCGGCTGCCTTCGAGCCAGCTAAGCCTCCCAGGGCTGCCGTCCAGGGGTGCTGCCCCCAACACTTCTCCCTCCCTCCTGTGGGCTCCCTCTAGATCAGGCCCCAAGGAGGAGTGCCTGTGCCACCCCTTCTCACTCCACGGCCACAGGACTCGAAGTGAGGTCCAAGGAAGCCAGGGGCAGGTGGCTCCCCAGAGGGGCAGAGAGGTGTAAAGTGAAGGTTTTCTCAGCTTGCAGCAGACAATGCAGAGGGTGCTGGCGGGAGCCAGGTACACACAGGTGACAGGGATCTCCTCGCCAACAGCCACAGGTCCGAGCCCCATAGCACCCGGTGTCAAACCGCCCCAGGCTCCATGTACTTCCTCTGGAAAGAGCAAGAGTAATTCTGACGTCACGAGGCTGCTGCATTCATTATAGGATAATACATATTGACCGGTAGGACTGGGTTATCAAGGGCGTATTTAATAGCAGGTGCTTAGTCGATAGAAATGTATTTTACTCGTTCAGTTGCTCATTTAACAAAGCAATGGCCCAGGCTAGACTCAGCACTGCACGAGGGCTAGGGCCACAGCACTGAAGCCTGGCCCTGGGGACCTTCTTCCCAGGGTGGGCCCCCGCCCCCTCCCAGGGTGCTCAGACCTTGGTAGTCATGGCGGTTTGAGCCCCAGCTCTCCAGCTCTCTGTCTAGATGGGAGTG